ACATGTAAAGCATGAGTGCATGTGCAAAAAAAAAATGTCAAGTATCACATCAACAAGTACAAGTTAATTAAATTCTGCACCATATCTACAGTTCCTAGTACATACCTATTCCAATATTCACATCATTGTCGACAAGACTATCAAACCCACATAAGTACACAAAAACACCAAAAAATTAAAAAATATGCAATTTAAAAAAAAAAAAACTCAACAAGCACACAAAATGCAAAAGATTAAACAAATGTATTGATGGAATATGAACAATGCACAAAGAATGGATGCCACAATTTTCCTTTCCTCAAACTTATCCATAATATTACCCTCATTGTTGAAATAAAGTAAAAGTTCAAATAAGTATAATTGAAGAACAAAATAAATCGAAAGCACAAGAAATGGGGTAGCTAGCACTTCCCTGATCAGTATGGAGGTGGTGAAAAACTTGGACCCACAATGCCGTATGTGGAGCTAACCTTTTCTTGTCCTGTTGAGATCTTCCTGGCGGCATCCTGCAAAAGTACAAAGGATGTGTATTATATCTCATGGTGATAATTGATGAACTTAGGTGCATGAAGGAATTCATGTAACGCACCATTCTCCCAAACTTGTTTGATAGTGCATATATAAATCATGTAGGGTGTGTGTAAGCCACGAACTTAGTTTCATAACAAGTTATAACTTAATACTATTTCAACATTCTTGACTCGTGCATAATGCATTAGTACTTGTTTGAATATAAATGGGTGAAGGATGACCTAGAACTATTAATAATGTCGAGAAAAATTGAAAAACTCCTAGGCTAATGTAAAACAAAATAAATAAAGGGTAAAAACGTTGGGTTACCTCCAAACCAGCACTATTTTATAGTCGATAGCTTAACTTTTGGCACATGTGTTTTGTGGCACCTTAAATATGGTTTGGGAGGTCCTGGCCTAGGGTTGTCAACTAGCCAAGTTGAGCCAATTCGAGAGCTAAAACTCAGGGCTCGAGCTCGGTTCGAGTAAAATCAAACAGGCTTTTTTCAAGCCTAAGCTGAGCCAAGTAAAAGCTCAGCCAGAAAACAAGGCTTGACCTGAGCTTTCGGCTCAGGCCTTAGTGAGTCAAGCCCGAGCTGACTCGATTTCTCTCTCTCTCTCTCTCTTTTATTTAATTGTATTGGCACAACTGTTGCCGCCTTAAGAAGGTAATAGCCAGCTGCCTTATTTAAGGCATCAGATTGCTGCCTTAATTAAGGTAATTAAGGTAACAAGCTGCTGCTTTAAAAATAAGGCAGTGCTTGCTGCTTTTTTTTTTTTCTTTTTCTTCTTTTGGTTTTTTTTTTTAAATAAGGCTCGAGCTTAAGCCAGCAAGCCACATGGGCTGACTCAGGTTAAGCCCAAAACCTCAAAATGGGGCTCGACCCGAGTCGACGAGCCCAATTGACATCCCTAGGTCCTGCGTAGTTTGCTCAATATGTTCTTGTTCCGCAATGCAGTTATCCTCCGAATTTTATCCCTATCCTTCTCCAAGTAGTGTGACTTTCTCTCCTCGTCCTATAAATCCCACATTGAATGCCTCATTCTCCTTTGAATCAGTGAGAGTGGATGGAGAGTGCACTACACAAGCCTCATGAACGTCTGGTTGTTTCTTCAACGCAAAATTATAGGGGATTCCTATGTCAACCACTTCAATCTGGAAACGGCTTTCAGGCTCAGTGAGGTATTTCATTACCTTGAAAACATTAAAAGAAACTTGCTCCTTTCCCAACTTCAAAGTTAATTGTCCTTATTGCACATCTATGAGAGCTCTTGCAGTAGCAAAAAATGGTCTTCCCAAAATAATAGGCACATCATTATCTTCTTCCATGTCCAAAATCAAGAAGCCCGCTGGGAACATGAGTTTATCTACTTTGTCCAATACATCTTCAATAATCCCTCGTGGATGTGTAGGTGATCGATCAGCCAGCTGTAGAGTTACTGTAGTTACCTTAGGTTTTCCAAATCCTAGTTTCCTGAATATAGAGAGTGGCATCAAATTAATACTCGCACCAAGATCACACAATACTTTATTAAAATAAAAATCACCAATTGTGCAAGGAACAGTGAAATTCCTTGGATATTTCAGTTTTGGTGAGAGCTTTTTCTGGATCCTAGCACTGCACTCTTTGGTTAACATCACCGTTTCATGTTCCTCTAACTAGCGGTTATTCGTTAAGATGTCTTTCAGGAACTTGCCATAGCTAGGCATCTGGAGTAGTGCATCGACGAATGGGATGTTGATGTAGAGCTTTTTGAAGATTTCGAGGAACTTCTTATATTGCTGCTCCATCCTATACTTCCCCAATCTCTAGGGAAATGGAATGTGTAGTTTATAGGGGTTAACTGGAATGGTGGTCATACTCCGTGATGTTTCTGAGCGCTCATTTGATGTGGATTCACGTGTCTGCTCACCTTGCTATACAATCTCTACTTCCGTAGAGGGTGTTGTCTCATTATTTACACTCCGCTTCTCAATGTATCTCTCAGGTAGTTGCATCCTACTTCGAGTTGTGATCGCTTGAACATGCTTCCTGGAATTTAACTCAGTATTGCTTGGTAAAGTATTTGTGCCCTTTTCGTTATAGCGAGTGCCATCTGTCCCATCTGCGTCTCCAAGTTCTTAATTGCAGCATCCTGAGTTTGGAGAGTCGTTTTAGTCTTTTTCATGAACTGGTTATTTACTTCCATTTATGTCACTGTCTTTTCCATGAACTTTGTAAACATCTCTTCCAATTGAAGTGTCTTCTCCTGCTAAAATTGCCTGTGGGATCTATTCTGATTTTGGATACCACCCCATGAAAGATTTGGATGTTCTTTCCAACTGGAATTGTAAGTGTTTGAATTTCGATAGTTTTGTTGATGTTGACCCCATTGCATGTACTCTACTTGTTCCATTCTCTGTGATAAAATTGGGCATTCTGCCGTACTATGATTCGCTCCACATTCTTCACAATTTGGTTTTCGTGCATATGTTGCATTCGCTGACTGTGACATGCTTTCCACCTTGTGAAATAGTGAGTCAATCATTGCAGATAGGGCAGGATATGCATCAATTTCGCACACTCCCGGTGTTCTTCTCTGTACGACCCATTCTGATGTCCACATAGCAGATGTAGTAGCCATAGTCTCGAATAACTTGTGTACCTTGTCAATAGTTTTAGTGAACAGTGACCCGTTAAATGAAGAGTCAACCATGCTTTTGAAACTCGGAAATAGTCCCGCATAGAAGTACTAGGCCTGGAGTCTCTTGCTGATCCCGTGATGTGGACACTTCCGCAGCATATTTTTAAATCTATTCTAGGCTTCATAAAAAAACTCGGATTTACCTTGACGGAAGACAGATATGTCATGCTTGAGCTTTGCAATCTTGGCGGTCGGGAAGAACTTGGTACAGAATTTCTGTGTTAAATCATTCCATGTAGTAATGCTGGCGATCGATTGGGAGTCGAGCCATCCAATTGCCTGATCCCGCAGTGTATGTGGAAACAGCCTCAATTTGATTGAGTCATCTGAGATACCCAATACTTGAAGTGTTGGCACATCTCAAAGAACCGAGAGACGTGTGTATGTGGGTTCTCCTCAGCTCTACCATAAAATAAGTGCCCATTCTGAAACAGTTGTGTCACGTTTGTTTTCAGTTGGAAGTTGGGCTGTCCAAACGGTGGGTAGATGTTCGCTAAAATTACATGCCGCAAGTGCACGGGTCACATTCAAGTAATAAAGTAGACATTTTGAGTCTGGATTGTCGATCCTTCGAGAAATGTATGCTTTAGATTACACAACTTTAATTAATTTAATTCTAACAATAAAAATAAACTCACACACACAATTAAAACTATGGTTTTGGAATAAAGAAATTAATTTAAAACCTACAAAATAAGAAAATATAAAAAATCTTGGGAATTTCGGAAGGAAACGTGGTTAGTATTCATGGTTTTGCTTAATCATCACCTAATTGATTTTTCCACAAACCAATTAACAAATTACTCATTCACGATATTAAACCCGATCTTCCAGTTTTAGTTTATTCTCTCTCTCTCTCTCGAGCGAAATTAATTATATTTGATTGGTTTAACCTACTATATCTGTATGTTGATTAAAACCAAATAACTGTATTAAATCTTTGTGAAAATAGTTCATTGGGTCACCAAAGGTTAGGGGTACATCTCTATCTCCTACACAAACCTATGTTTTTACTATTTGGTCTAAGATGCACAATCTTCTCTCGAATGATGTACAAATTGCTAAACATAATCATTCATTGGCCACATAGATTAAAATGCAATAATAATAGTAGTAAAAACACATAAAAATAAATAACTTAACATTAAAGAGCAAATATTAAAATTAATTAAAAATTAGGTTAAGCTACTACCATAAATCCCAACACAAATATTTAGTCCATGTTAAATATATGATAAAAAGGAGAATTTTTGTACAATACATCACCAGTAGAAAATAATAGAGAAGAAAATACAAGATTCAAGATACAAATATTTTTGTTGGCCTTTTGAAGATGATAAAGGCTTGAACTTGATTTCCCCAAAAACTCTCCACCTCTTTGAATGTGTATTCTCCTCATGCTCTTGATTTCGCTTCCAAAATGTCAAGAAAAATAAAAGAAAAAGCATGAAGAAAGAAAAATGAGAGAAAATAAAAGAGGAAGAATACCCAACCCAAAAAACCCTAGAATTGGCCAACAAAACGGTATTTAAATGGCCAAAAATCAAGTTCAAGCCTTTTTTTTTTGTTGCCACCTTCTTGAAGAATCTATCATAGAATTTTTTAGCCAGTTTGACATTGGCTTTGATGTGTCAATCTCCCCAACAATGATTTTCATTTTTTGGATATCGTTTTTTCTTAGTGACAAAACAAGGGTATCTAAATTTGCATCAAACATTCGTGTATGGAATTTGCATCAAACATTAATGATCTCACCGGTAAGAATGAGATGTCCTCTAGGAGAGTAAGTGAGCTGACTATTGTGAACGAGACCTTAGCTATTCAGGTTAAACACCTTGAGAGAAAGCTAGAGCTGTCTAGGTCTCAGTTATTTGCCTTTTCTAGCAGTTCTGAAAGGCTAGATAATATTATAGGTATAGGTAAGCCGGTTGGTGATAGGGGAGGTCTAGGTTTTGATCTGAATGTTGCTAGTACATCACAGACCACCTTTGTTCATGCTACTGACCAGCCAAACATTGTGACTAACCCCATACCAAATGTTGTGGGAACTCCAGGATCTAGGTCTTCCAGACATCGTAGGACCCGTCGGCCTAGGAATAGAAATTAGCGTAAGCATATCATAGATCCTAGGTTTGCCCCTACATGTTTTCACTGTAGGGAGTTAAGTCACATCCTCCCCAGATGTCATCAGTACCTGAACAATAGGAAAGACTTGAGCCTAAAAAGGAACAAATATCAGGTGTCTGTTGGTCAAATTGGATTCCTTGCTAATCAAGTGAATCGCTTGACTCAATTGGTGACACAGCTGTCTGGAAACAATCCCCATTCTGAACAGGTTTGGGTGAAGAAAAGCGATCTCCCAAATTCGGTTAGAGATCGCGGTGCTCTTAAAGAAAAGAGAATTTATATACCTACTTGATTATGTATTTTTGATGCATGCTTGGTTCTTGATTGATATATAATTATTGCATGCATCACGTGTACATTTTTTTTGTTTTGTTGTTTTTCATACATGTGCATTTTCACCTGCGAGTTTTGGCGCATGCATAAATATTTTGTCTTTGTGTGCTTGATGTTATTTTATTTTGTGTGTGTAGTATTCATTTTAGGAGAAATGAAAAACACAAAAACATTGAAAATTTGAAAAAGACAAAAATAGTTAGTTATGAAAATTTCTACAGCATGACACATGACTTCGAGCTTGAACGTTGTATCATGTAGAAGCTAAAATTGATAAGCTGTAGAATAACTTCCATTGCCGGGTTAGGTCTAGTTGGATTAATCTGTTTAAGTGTCTTCATGTACCATTTACACTGCACACACTATGAACTTATTCGTGGGACTCTACCGCGTATGTGAGATTTGGGATAGCTGTCACATGTTGATGGGGTGACTTTGAACATGAATTGACCATATTTTTGTAAACCTTAACCTAAAAGTTTCCCCCATTTTAAATGCTCATATCTTAATGTTCTTCTTCGGGGCCTATTTGACTCGAGCAATTAAGCCTGCGGGGTCTCTTAAAACCTGGTACCTATGGTCGACTGACTTGGGTTAACCGGCCTAAAGCTCGCTATAGGGGCCATCTTAGTCGCCTAATGGAGAAGAACCTGCACTTAAGACGAAAAATTAATGAGCTGGAGAAATGAGAAAAATACGATGAGCTAAAATACTTTGAAAATTTGATAAACAGATAAGCTCATAGTAAGGGGGAGATAAGTAAAAATAATAAGTATGCGTCCTACTACGCATTACATGGTTTGACTCTCATTAGTAGGAGAACATACTTATTAGCCGTGATTGGCATGTCTCTTCTCACAAAATTAAGGTTTGGAGTCCTGCTTACATTGGATTAGTGACACTTTACATACATGAGTCACTTATATTTTTATTACTCCATTCTGGACTGAACTAAGTATGTGGGAAGTTATACTACTTGTTGATTTTGCTTTTACATGCTATTAATTTCATTTTTGATAATTATGTGTTATTGCTCAACTTGACCTTAATGCATGTCCCTTCAGCATTTGTGACAAAAAGGGGGAGAGAAATGTGTAACTGAGGTGAGAAAAAATAATAATAATAATAATGATTAAGCATACACATAGGAAAGCAACTGCATATGCATGCACATGACGTCATTAATTGTCATCACTTGCATTGTATTGCTATGTCCAGGGGTCCTTGGGGAGAGACGTAGATACTTTTACCTACTGCATAAAAACATAAAGCTTGTAATAAGGGAGAGCGTTGCATTGCATTCCATATCACATCCATCTGTTTCAGTTTTGATGTTTAGTGGTGTTGGTGTCTTGGTTGGTGTTTTGATTGGCATCAATATCACGTCTCAAACTGTTATGTTGATTTGTGATTAAGAACTTTAAGTAATCTTTATATTTCCTATATCACGTGCTTTTACACCTAGTATATGAGTTTGTGGATTTCAGGAAACAGGTACACGAAAGAATGCAAGACTCAGTGATTGGGTTTACTAGGTAGTTTAGTTTTTGGTTGTTAAGTCCTGACTTATTTTCTATTGTCCTGACTTCATTTGTAGAGTTTTGTCACAGAATGCCAAAGGGGGAGATTGTTAGGTCTAAAGGTGTAATTGGCGATTCTGTGGACAAAAGGATTAAATTGTAAATTTGTAAAAGTCAGGGACTTAATTGTACAATGTTATAAAAGTCAAGGACTTAGGGTGTAATTTAGCAAAGTTGTGTGGTAGGGACTAGGGTTTGAGTGTTAGGTCAAAATCAAGAACACGGTGCCGAAGGTTCGCTAGCTGTTCGCCCTTCCACCGCTCGAGCGAGAAGAAGCAGAATGGACGTCGCTCGCTCTTCGCCCGGACTTCGCTATAGTGAAGTACTGTCGCTCGCTCTCCGCTCGCTTTTCGCTCGAGCGACAGTGTTATATGAAAAATTGTATTTTCGATTTTTGGAATGTTTGACACGACCTAGAACTCCAAATTGCCCCCAACTATAAATATAAAGGCCGTGAACGAAAATAGTGGGGTTGCTTCATTGTGCTTTCATATTAGAACACTTTCATATCATTGTGAAGAGATCCAAGAATACAACCAACTAGAGAATTCATCAATCTTATTCTTGTGATCCGGCAACCAATATTTTGGGGAAAAACATCAAATTTGTGAAGACAAAACATCGGTACTTCTTCATCTGTTGAGGAAGGGACTCTCTCAAAGGGGGATTGAGGGAGGTGGACGACAAGCGCATGGACTGGACAAAAATAGGAGGTTCTTGGAATTCCACTTGGTGCAACAATCAGCTAAAGACCAGAAGGCTATATTGAACAGTAGATTGGGCTGCAGGTGGTAGATCGGGAAGCTAGCAGGAGACTAGTAGTGTCTACGGTAGTAGATCGTGAGATTAGAACGACGGGTCTGACTGGGTACGGAGTTTGACAGAACATGTACTGACTGAATTGGTATAGTGGAACTTACTGACTTGGTTCCGGAGTTTTACCCACGTTGGGGTTTCTCCGTCATCATATCATGAGTTGTGTTTTGTATTATGTTATTTACTTTACGCAAATTGACAGTTCAACATAGGAATTAACTGAACTGTATGTTTAATCACCTAGACAATTAATTAAAGTGACGTGTTGCTTTGATTAATCAATTTCGCAGTGAGGTCGAATAATAAATTGTTTGAAACGTAAACTTGGCAATGTCTAAAAATTGAATTTGACGTAACATAACTTTTTTCGTGAATTTCCAAGTGGTTGTAGAACATTCCTTGAACTTTCAATTTTCTTTGAAAAACTTCAGAATTTGGATCATATTTTCTTTTATATCTGAACGGACATCTGCACTTTTTTGGGGTGTGGCTACTTTGATTTTATATTAAAGGCCAACTTCATTAAAATTTAGGATTTGAATAGACGGGAAGAGATAGAGAGAGAGAGAGAGGGAATGGAGGTGAGGAAAACAAGAAAATTACTACTTTGTTCTTTTAAAATTGAGTAAAATGTGGTCGAAATTAATTTTTTAGGTCAAAATCACTTTTTTAAGTCAACTAACGAAAAATTAGAAAGAATTCATCCGAAAGGGCTTCAGATGGAACATTTTAAAAGGTTTTGAGTAACAACTGCAACAAATCAAAAGTTAGGGAAAAGTCTGTTAATATTTAAAAGATTTGAAACTTCTGCTGTAATTATAATGAAAAGTTGAAACTCTTTCTTGTCCTAGTACTATGTAAGGAGCTCCCCCTTATTCCACATATCAAATTTTGAGAGCTCAGTCATCTCTTTAATTTTATCCCTTAACTCTTCGTGTTTAAAAAGTCTTGTTCTTAGTAGTTTAGATAATTTTCGTTGTAGCTCGCCTAACGTAGTGATGAGCTACAAGTTAGTTATTTTCAATAATTGCATCCTAGAATACAGATGCCATCATTCCTCTCGCGCCATAGTGAAAAGTGAATATGTTTAAAGGAAAGTGTGTGCAACACAACACTCGATTCATTGCAAAATCGCTACTAAATCAATGATCATATTTCCTCTATTTTATTATTACTCTATTTATTGTAATATTTATTTTCATTATTTTATTTATATAATTTCAATAATATTTTCTGGTTTTCCTTTTGTATTTCTCCCAACTCTCTGTTTTCATGAGTATTGTCCTTAGTAACTTTGATAACATTTGTTCTAACTCAATCGTAGAAGTGTGAGCATCTCAGTTCGCTTAAAGTAGTAACAAGGTGTTAATCAGCTACTTTCAACCGTTCTATCTTGGAAGATAAACGCCATTAGTTCTCGCACCACATTAGGAGTGAATCTGTTTAAAGGAAATTGTATGCTACACAAACCTCAATTTCTTGCAATTTCGCTACTACATCAATAATTATACTTTCTCTATTTTATTGCTACTCCATTTATTGTAATTTTTTTCATTATTTTATTTATATAATTTCAATAGTATTTCTAATTTCATTTTGTATTTTTCCTAACAAGAACATCTCCAAATAGTGCTATAAATTAGATTTATATTTTAGAAGCGAGCCGAAAACTTCTCCAATAGAGAGATGTAGAGGCAATATAAAATTACATTCTTTGGGAAAAAATGCAAAAAAGACATAAATTTATATATTTTTAAGATCCACGGTATACAAAAAGTTAACATTCTATTTGCACCCAATTTTTTTAGATCTTTCTATTGGAGAATAATTTAAATTTAAACTCATCAGAATGTAAATGATGATATAAAAGTGATTTCAAAAATATCAATTTACATACAATTTTACATTATTATTGAAAATGCTCTAAAGATAAAAAGAAGAAGAAGGATGGGGACTCGTTTGCTAATAAGAAATCAGGTTGGAGACTAATTCTTCAATTTTCCCTATAAAATGGGAGAATCCTTTCTTTGTTTTGTTAACTTAAGAACAGATACTGAATACCTACAGCCAATCAAGTGGGACCCATCTTCCCAACGTCATAATCAAAGACCAAGAAAATTTCCCCTGCATTTGCCTTTCCCAAATTCCATACTCAAGATTACCGTGAAATGTAATTCCCGTCAAAAAGCTAATATTAATCGAAAATGGCGACCTCTGCCTTCAAATCCACTACCAGGAGAGGCGGAGCTGAATCCAAAGCCCCACAATCCACTGCAACCAAACGACGATCCCATAGCGTTAGCGCCGTTTCCCGAGCACCCCACGGCCGTCAACTCGATAGAAGCAGTTCGATTTCTGATTTTTCCTATAAAAGAGATAACCCTCTTTTCTCTCCGGATAATGAAATAGAAAACGACAATGAAAAAATTGGAAATAGAGGTCAAATTGCTTCTATTAACGGTTCAGCGTCTTCTTCGAATTCGATTAATGGGAGTAGTATTGTTAATGAACAAAGAGGGCGTTCGGTGACGAGAAATTCTCATGGTGGCGGTGGTGTTAAGAATGGGATCGGTCGCAGCCTATCGCGAGTACGAGGTCGTTCTGTGTCCAGAGGTCGCTATGGAGGAGGAGTTTTCGAGGTTTGGTCTTTCAAATACTTTCATGTGATGCTCTGATTATCACTTAACGGAATAATAAAATAATAGCGCAATAATAACGTGATGCTGTATGATAATTTTATGGTTGGATTTTACAAACTGATTTGATAATATCGAATTTAACTGGTCTTTTTAAATGCTGTTAAGATTTGTCTATTTAACTAGTTGTCTTGTCTGGTTAATTCAATGTCTAACAGAGTTGATTGTAATAAATTATGGCCAAAATGAAGATGAAATTGTGGTTCTTCCCCAACCAATGTGCTTGTTTAGGATTTAATTAATTATGATAAGATAATTTTATGGTTGGATTTTACAAACTGATTTGATAATATCGAATTTAACTGGTCTTTTTAAATGCTGTTAAGATTTGTCTATTTAACTAGTTGTCTTGTCTGGTTAATTCAATGTCTAACAGAGTTGATTGTAATAAATTATGGCCAAAATGAAGATGAAATTGTGGTTCTTCCCCAACCAATGTGCTTGTTTAGGATTTAATTAATTATGGTAAGAGTGAGGTTGATACTTGTGTCATATTCTCCAAGGAAGAAGATAAATGAGACTTCTCTCCATGTCAATGGAATGTAGCTACAGTCAAAATAGAGTGTTTTTTGTCCATATCACTTTTGTTTTTTGTCCATATCACTTTTTAACTGCATAATTTGTTTCTATGACAGAGTGCAAAGGCACATGATATGGATACATGGATGGATGCTCGAAACAGAAATGTGAAAAAACAGATAGGTAACAATGTGAAGAAAACTAATTCAGTTAGAAGTGAGGGTGATACACAGGCTCATGTCAAGAATGCACGACTAACTATGAACCAGAATCAAGCTACTGATTGGTCGGAAGATGATTCTGCTGTGAGAACGGTTTATGTTCTTTTTAATATATAGTCAATACCTCGTGGGCAATTATTATAATGACTTAGTAATTTGGGCATTTTTACACATTTTCAGTGTAGTTTTCAAATTCCAAATGTGGATGACGGAATTTCAACAGGTTCTTTGTCAGAAGCAGAAGAGAAAATGGTAATGACTGTACCTGAATAAACGAAAGTGAGCCTGAAGTATGTGCTTTAAACTTCCATGACAATTTAGATTATGCATGTTGAGTTTGTAGCCTTGCTTCTTTATTGCTAGTTTGGGGAGTAACTTTCTTCAGTAACTGAATCATTTTTACAAGCGCTTCCATATTCTTAAGGGATCCATGTTATATGATCACGTATCATACTTTAGTCATTTGAGTGTGATCCGTGGAATGATACATAAGGTCCTCCATATAGAATCCTAATCCCGTTTAGGAGAGTCGCTTTCTACGGTTTCTACCCTTACAATACCTTATCATAACCGAGGGATCCGCCCCCACACCCCAACTTATCTGTGTCTAACTTGATGGTTTAGTTGATTCAGATACTGGTCTAGGCCTATCGGCCTATCCCCTCTGCTCCATCAACTAGCCCCTGTATACAAAAATATGAGCCACCTAATCAACACATACTTATTTTTTTTTCTATTTATCATCTTTGCTCTTTTTAACAAGTCTTGTCTTCCAGATTTAAGTTTCTGTGATGTATTATATTATTCTATCGATTTTCTTTTCATTGCTATCAAATTTCAGGCTTTTCAAGGGAATAATATCAGTACTATCACAGCTATAAATGCTGCCGATGTGCCTCCAGACTTAGTAAACCCTGGTGATATTGAAATGATCCTGGACATCAGAAAAGAATATGCCTTAAAACTTGAAGAGGTTATATTCAATCTTCCACCTTTTGCCTTCTTCCGATTTGAGAATATATTTCTATTCTGGATTGCTAAAATTTATCAAAATTCAACGTTGCAGTCTGAAGAACGGGCAAGAAAACTTCGAGCAGATCTTGCTATTGAAGAGCACCGTGGGCAAGAGCTGGGTAGGATTCTCAAAGAGATAATTCCCGATCCAAAGACTTCTAGTGCTCTGAGATCTCGTCGAGGAAGAAGAGTAGGCTATATTTGCTCATTGTTTGTTCTTCTTTCCGATATAGCTAATTTGAAAATAAGCTTTTCAACTGCACATTCAATGGAACCCATAACTTTCTCCTACTTTTTAAACATGCGTTCTTAAAATAAATAAATAATCATTTTTTCACTTGGAAAAATCTCTCCCAAACAAGCTCTAAGTCTTCCTCTGGAATGTGAAAGATAAAATGCCCCTCTTAGATTTGAGTTTATTTTAGAAACCAAGCATGGGGCTACATATATCTAGTTGTGTTACATACCATACTCCTCTTGACAATTTGGAAATACAAATGATTATGTTTTGTACAGGATTTGAAATCTACAATAATATTTTTTCCATTTTGTGTTTGGGAGTTTAAAAAATGAGGTTTGAATAGAGTGGTTGATGAGCACCAACGTCAATTAGGTGCATTTAGTGTCATCCCTCTTTCTCTCCTGTCCCTTTTTGTGTCTCTCTTTATGGGTGCTGCTCTCCTCCTCTTGCTCTTTTTTCTTCTATGTTATGTTCTGGATCTTTGGACCAGAATGTTGAAATTAAATCACACGTGACCAATTACGCTGTAGATATGCCTGCATGATATCCATTTGAGAAAATAAGCCTTAGTCAATTGACAAACCTAGCTACTTGGCTTTCAATCTTGTGTGCCACTCTACGCTTTTTCTGAATTCTACATCTAGGATATTTCATTATTTTTTGCGGATTTTTTCTTAAAGAAAGGGGGTTTATATGGAAGGAAAGAAGAACTTACAGGCATTATACCATTAAGAGATAATGGATTCACATGTTGCAAACTCGCAATGATGAAGATCTATGTGAGATATATTTCACATAAGAGTTGTTAAGTGTGTGCTTAGCATAGATTTGTGGTGTGAGAAGTCCTTTTCAAAAGTAATTTTTGATGAAGGCCTTATCGAAAATTTTAGTGTTCAAATGTGACTAGTTCTTCCATGAGAAACAATGGAAATTTTAAGGAAATAGTTTTCTGAACTTGGTTTTGTGAAAAGTTGTTCCCAAAAGGTACTCCTACTTGGAAAGTCATCTTTAGAATCTGGGAATTCTTCAAAAGTCCTTATTGAAATCATAACTAAATTGCATAAATTTAAAAACATTTTCACCTCCAGTTCTTGAGCTCTACAAAATTCCTCCAAACATTACCGGACTTTTCTTGCTGAGAGGTTAACCATTTTGTATCATTTAATCTGTTAGCATTGTGAAAGAACTTGCGTCGCGAGTACACCCCAATGTTTTTCTTGTTTTCTATCTCTTCTTAACATGATACTTCCAAACAGTGACAAATATTTCTTATCCTTAAACTGGGAGGATAACCATTGGGGACCATTGAAGTGTTAGCATAGCAAAAGAACTTGTGTCGCAATTCCTTGCATTTCTTTTTTGAGTTTCTGACTAATGGTAGTTGGTTTGTTTCCTTCTCTCTATCTAGCCCCTCCTAATATGTCAATGACTCTATTAATTGCAGACAAGCAGTGAACGAAAACGGATGTCAAAACGTCTTACTGAAGAAGCCTTGGCATATTTTGATGAATGTGTGTCCTTATCAACTTTTGATAGCTCTGACTTCTCAGCATCAGAAGACCCATCTTACACCTCATTTGGAGCTATTACCCCCATTGGCGATGCTTTATCTTTACAAAAAAGTAATCTAAACCCCTTGTCCTCAAATGACCATGGCAGTGGTCTCCACCAAAAACAGGTTCCTCTCTCAACTGAATGGTGGTTAATTTTCCATAGTTTACATCAATATGGCATGCTTATTGACCTGATGTAGTTGTTGTTGTCTGGAATCCTGATAGATTTTACACATGAACTAATCATTAAAGCACATCATTGATCCTTACGGACTTGTCTTCATACTTATGCTGAATATCACAGAGATAATGGATCTTCTATGCTTCTTAATATGTTACTTTAGCATGTCGAAAAGAGAGAGATTTGAAAAGTTATACTGCGTTCATTTTCTTCTCTCCGTTTCTGCCTTCTCAATCTTCCCTCCTCCCAATGGCAGCAAGTGCATTTCTATATTATATTCAGCTATATAGTATATAGAGTATATGAATTCCTCTGCATCTGTGTGACACATTTTTGTCATTGAGCTTACTTACGTATTGGTATTTTCCATTGCCTGAGGTCATCGTCTGATTTGTCAGTTAAGGGAATGTGATTTTGATGGCGGTTGTATGTTATAGCTGTCAGATACCAGAAACTTACGTAATGTTTTGTGAAATTTTAACTGAGTCATCAAGATAGTGGAGGTAGCAATGAGACAAAAATCTCCACAACTTGACGGCTGGAGTTACATGTTTCATTATATGTTTTTAGTATCCTAACGTTTGGGAATATGATGTTGTCAGGCTGTTGACACTGGTATTCAACTGCAGACCACTCACTAAAAGCTTATTCTTGATAGTGAGTTCTGAACCTGTTGATGCTGGCATGCCTTCAAAGATCAACCCATTTACAAGCTGACTTGTTCAGAAACCAAAAGATAGTCAACTCAGAATTTAGATCACTCATCCAAATTCATCATTTTGGGGTTGATCCAGGTTTCTCTGTGGTTCACATTCACTCTGCTTTCTAATATTTGGGAACATAAAAAAAGGAACAAAACCGCTTGTTTTACTGACGACGTGTGACCCATATACTCTTGAACTTAATAATTTGAAACTGTTTGTTCTTAAAAAAAGAACAGAGTGTTTTAGCTGAATCTGGTTGACAAGTCAAATTTTATAGGCCTATTTAACTATCACGATACTGAATGAAGTAGTACCGAAATTTAGGATTCCCACTGAACTTAAGGATACTAGGAGTAAAAAAATTATATATTCTTGAGATAAAAGTATGCTAAGCGTATAAATAGATTTTAGATGCTGAACAAGAGGGCCAGTGGAGCCATTCGTACTAAATCCCCAAATACCTGCTAGAAGCACATTTGGTTCAGGTCTGAGATGATCTCAAAAAATTGAAGTTGCCAAAAAGAGCTGAGAGGTGTAAGGTATTGTATAATTTTCTAATTTGATAGCCTATTGGTATTTTGGCTTGGGCAGCTATGTTTACTTAATCTTTTGGTAATCTAGGTCTTAACTGGTATATGTAGTCTGAAATCTAAATTTATTTTCCTTTAATCCTATCTTATTTTGCTTTTTCCCTTTTTGGTCTCTAGTTCGCAAGAGGTTTTGCTTACTGGGTAACTGAATATATTTGGATCTGCCTTTCACCTCTCCTTTTACTCAGTGGCAGATTTCATGCATTACATATCCCTCACCTTTTTGATGAAATCCAGACGTTTGTTAACTTGTCCTGGAATTATGTTAAAGACAAAAATATGCTTATAGTTCAAAAATGTATATTATGAGATTTTGGGCAACATATTGGTTCTCTTGCATTCTTTTCGTTTGTTTTGTGCTAATATTTCTGGTTATGTAAAATTATCACAAACTATATGTGACGTTTCTTCCTGGGTAGTTAGATCAATAACTTGTGATGGGAGCAATGATGGCACAAGTAAAGCGTAACAATTGTATTGCATGGTAGAGTTTTCTTTCATCTTACTTTTACCATTATTTGTTCTGTAGAGTGAAAATTGCCTCAATTTTGAGCTTTCAAAATGTCTGCTAAAACTTTTTCCTTCTTAGTGTTCCCAAGTTAGAAATCAGAAAGGCATGCTGACCCTAATAAAAATACCATCATTTTACACACTGCATCAATGGTTGATTCAGTCAGTGTCTGATCCAGATGTATTGTACTCAAGAAGCATTTTCAAGAAATTCAAGGAACTGTCTTTCACAGTTCATTATGATTACAAAATCAAATGAGAAATCATGATACATTTTTTTTTTTTTTTTTTTTATATGATACTTATTTTATCATCATTTTAAATCATCAATCACACCATTGTTTCCTTTTCATTGTTTCTTACATAGTAATAATGTGCAGCCCCTGCAAAGCTTCGAGAACTCTGCTTTAACAGCCCACAGTAGTAGTGATGAGCCAATAAACAGTCAAGAATATCGGTTCTCTTTTGCTCATAAACAATTAGAACATGCTGGAACTCACCGAGATATCAAAAGTTACATCGAACATTTTGGGAGAGATATTCATAACGATATCGACTCAGAGGTTACAGAATCATACTATGATGCTGGTGAGTACAATTTACAAGGCCGCACTGAGAGCATGTTATGTGACAGGTTCTTCTTTAGTAACAGAATAGAGTCTGGGAGCCTGCTTTTATGTGGTGGTGCAATCTCGTCTTCTTCATTTTCTCTGGTAATCTAATGAAAGATTTACGTGGCTGCACCGGAAGTTTGTTTTTTGCTTTTATGTGGCAGTGCAATTCAGTTTCCTCTGCTCAAGTAATCTCGAGGGAAAGAGGTAGAGAATTATTCAAGCGGACAACTTGTTTATGTATTCATTTTTGGGTTGCTTTACCTTGCTCAAGTGGCTTGTTCGTGCAAATCAAGGTTACGAATGATTGTACAAAAGTAGTTTTATAGGTGTATCCGATAGAACTTGAAATAGAAGGTATCCAGATTCATGAGCTGTTTTAACGTGTCTGTCAGACTATTCAACGGCTACATATAATTCTATGCCGAAGTTGCGAAATTCTCCGTCCTGAACCTAAATAGCAAACGAGGTAAGAATGAGAAATATAGTCCTGCCCACACACACACACACACACGAACCTAAATAGCAAACGAGGTAAGAATGAGAAATATAGTCCTGCCCACACACACACACACACACGAACCTAAATAGCAAACGAGGTAAGAATGAGAAATATAGTCCTGCCCAAATCCCCCCCCACCACACACACACAGAGATATATATATATATATATATGCACTCGTTTGGTACCTCCAGTGGCGGATCCAGGAAAAAATTCAATACGGGCTAATACGTATAAAAAAAAAAATATTGCACATAAAAAAAAAATATATTACTCAATTTTTATTTTTAATCGACATTTGGGCTGAAGGGGCGGGCTGGGCCGCTCATGGGTACTTCTAAAAAATCTAATTTAAAGTCAAAAATTAATTTTAACTGCACATTTTACAAGATTCACAACTTTTTAATCATACGATTGTTACTTCATATGTGGGCCAAGTGTAAAACATCAAAGAACTCTTTTTTTATTTTTTTTTTCTTGTTTGGTTGAAGTTTTAATTCGAAGTGTTCGAAAATATAAAAAAATAGAAAGAATTTTATGTACTGTTGTAATAATTAGCATTCCATTCCATTTTTGCGCGTTTGAGATTCAACAGTCTTTTTTACAAGATAAGATATAGATCCCTATTAGTAAATTTTGCACAAATTGTCAATTGAGAGTGCGATCAGTTTTAAATTAAATAAATTTAACAATAAAAATAATAAAGTATCCCTTATCATCTTTCGGACTCCTACTTGCTCCCTCCCCCTCTTCTCATCGTCCATTTTTCATCTCCACTCTCCTTCCACGATTTATAATAAATCTCTAGAAAAAATTGGTATTATTTTTCCCTTCTCTGAATTACCAACCCCACTACATGGCATGACACCTTTCGCTCATCCATTCTGTCCACCCACCTAGACGCGATGCCTTTTCTCATTATCATCTACCGGTCTTTCTTATCTACCTCATGCAGATCTACATGAGTTAGAGGTCGACTTGAAATAAAAATTATAAAATAGACAAAAGTACGAGAAAACTGAAAAATAAAAATTCTTCCAAATTTGCTCTATTTTCGCTGAAGTGGATCTCTTGGGGTGGAATAAGATTGTTACATTTGCATGAGAAGAAAGGGACTTGTCCTGTATATTTATCGCTTAAAATTCTTCCAAATTTGCTCTATTTTCACTGAAGTGGATCTTTTGGGGTGGAATAAGATTGTTACATATGCATGACAACAAAGGGACTGGTCCTGTATATTTATTGCTCAGGTCTTGGTGGGTTCACCTGTAAATAACTACAAAAATGAGGTTGTTTATTATAATAAGCCTCCAAATGCATCCTTAAGTTCCTCATCTCCAAACGCAGAATCTACTGACAATTTAACCACTTTTCTTCGCCTACATGCCTACAATTTAATTAATTAATATTGGGTTTTTCCCCTCAATTTATTTGAATTTTTAAAAAGACAAAAAGAGACTTCCAGAATATCACAATAAGTTGAACAAAGGCAATCGGTGGCGTGGCTGTGATTTGAGCAGGTTGGCCAAGTGTTCACACTTCCTGGTAAATTTTGGTTCAATTGACCCAAACTTTAACGCTACCCCAGGGTAAACATAGACCCTTTATAATAAACTCCACAATTTTAAGATGAGTATTCATAAAAAGTATTGCTACATTTATTACGCGCTTGGCATGTTCGACTCGACAAGAACAATACAGAGAGAATACATGAGATACTTGTCGGTAAGCTCGGCCAAACAAAAATAATAAATAAATGTGTACAGATATTGTCGGTTGCGTTGTCCGCTAGTTAGTATCCAGTTCAGCACACTGACTATTCTCTTAAATACCCTAATTATTTGTTTAATTACATTGTTTATACTGTCAAATATTACAAATCAAAAACGACCGAAACATTTTCTCCTCCTTTTCCTATATAAACACCAAACCAAAGCTATTTTTGCCATCTTTCACACAGTTCATTTGGTAAACAACTTTAGTTTACCAGAAAAGAAGTTTTTCTCTGTTGATTCTTCACCAAACCACCAATTTCTCTCTCTCTCTCTCTCTCTCTCTCTCTCTCGTACACATTTTCTACTGTGTCATTCTAGAGAGAGATCGCTTCAAAAATGAAGAGGCCCCATCCACCTTCTTATTCATCTGCTTCTTCTTCTTCATCTTCTTCTTGCATCAATTCAACAAAAACCCAAAAAAAATCCCAGCCTAAACGTGTTAGACCCAAGAAAATTCAGAATGCTGCTGCTGATTCTAATAAATCAAGAAGCTCCATTTTCAGAGGTGTCACCAGGTAATTAAATTTATACATATATACACTTTTACAGATGGAATAAACTGAAATTTTCACTTGCATGCTTGTAATTATTTCTATATATTAATCTTTTGCTTCTTTTTTATTTTTTTTAAAAAAAAAATTTAAAAATTAACAGGCACAGATGGACCGGAAGGTTTGAAGCACACCTGTGGGATAAAAGTACATGGAACAACATTCAAAACAAGAAAGGAAAACAAAGTTAGCATCTTTAATATTTTTTTCCCCTTTTCTTTGTAATTAATAAAAAATTCAAGTGAAAATGAAATCAAGAGATCTGTGATCTTTGTTTAATAATTAATAATCTTAGTTTAATTATTAATTATCTCTTATACAGTAATGAATTATGTCATTGCCTCTGAATTCTTGTTATTCTGAATGTATCTGTTGTGTTCTTGATGATGATCCCTGTCCACGCATTTGTCGCTGCAGTCTATTTGGGTGAGTTCAAAATCTGCTTATAATTAATTTTCTGTTCTATTTTTATTTTGGGCAATTTTTGATTACTTTACTCATGAAAAATTAATCGAGTATACTACTGTTTAATTGTTGATATTATTTTAACTTAGGTGCATATGACAATGAGGAATCTGCGGCTCGAACCTATGATCTAGCTGCCCTCAAGTATTGGGGACCCGGTACTCCCATGAATTTCCCGGTAATCGACTTGATTTATTTTTTGCTATCGACTATTTTAATTGAACTGACATTTGGCATTCGTTCATTGTGTTTGAATGCACGAATGTGAATTTAGTGTTTTCATAGCGTTACATGTGAGTCGCTCGTGCCTATAAAAGATCGTGACACAAGCATTACGTGTGCATTTAATGTTTTTAATTAACTTTCGATGACAATGCAGCTTGAGATGTATTCGGCTGAGACTGAAGAAATGCAAAAAATGACAAAGGAAGAATACTTAGCATCGCTTAGACGACAAAGTAGCGGATTTTCGAGAGGTGTATCTAAGTACCGTGGTGTGGCAAGGTAACAAAATGTTTCATGTGAATTTTGCATTCAAGTATTAGATTCTTAGTATTTTTTGTGGACTTTGTTATGCATTGCACACAAAATGTGTTGAGTGGGAACCAATTTTATGTTCATTTTTATCATGGGTTTGTGGATTATTTTTGGTGTGCTGAGGGTGGAAAAAATAAAAAATGTGACACTTTCTTGAATCAAATAAGTGCCGACCATTTTTTGAAAAAGAAAGGTTTGACCATTTTTTGTTGGAATATAACAGGCACCACCATAATGGTCGATGGGAGGCTCGAATTGGACGTGTTTCTGGAAATAAATATCTTTATTTGGGAACTTTCAGTAAGTTCTCTTATCAATATACTTACATTTTTGGACGGATATATGATTGGTGTGTTTTGAAGATAGCATTCATTTATTATTCTAACGGAAGAAGACAATTGAACTCAGACTATCCTAGAACGTGATATTGGTTCGACATAAGTTTGAAGGGTTGTTTCGTGTGCGATAATTGGGCATAAATGAAATACAAAGAAGACAACTCATATTAGATTAAATAAGTTTATTTGAGTAAATTAATTAAATATATACACACACACACACACATACATATATATATACATACATACAGCTTGTTTGGGAGTGATTTTTTTGATCAAAAAATTGATTTTTTGATTGTTATTTCGTTATTTTAGCCGTCATATTTGACTTCTTCTCTCACAAGTAAATCCCACTTTTTTCCAACGGTAAAAAAATCAATTATCAAAATCACTCCCAAACAGACAAATTTGAAGGGTTGTTTGGGCATAAATGAAATATAAAGGAGACAACTCATATTCGATTTTATATATATAAAACTCCCCTTGAAGTTAATGAAAATTACAGAGATGCGCTCTCTCGTTTTAAAAATTACAAAAACTTCCATTAGTTAACGTAATTTCATATTTTGCCATTTTCTTCTATATCCATTTTCATGAAAAAAAATAAAAGAATAAAAATTGTATGAGTTTTAAAAAAGTTCGTTTTCATCTTTTTGCTCAAATGTGACTTTTAATTAGCTTTACTAATTTATTCTAAAACATTTATTTTATTTATGTAGATTTTTAGATATTTGCAATCGTATTTGTAAAAGAGTAACTTTTGTAAAGGAAAAAACTTCATATTTTATAACAATATTTATAATGATAAATAAAGGAGTAAAATGAGAGATATTTAATTATTGTTGACACATGAAAATATGTTACGAAAAATAAAATTGAGGGGAAGTTTACGTAATTTTTGGGAATATAATAGTTGTCTTTCTGATTTCAATTGGGATAAAACTGAGATCTCGACTTATACAATCTCTGAGGCCCGTACGAAAGGATAGTCATTCTTTATAAAATTGAACATTCTTCTTTGAGGGGCTGCACTTTCTTATTCTATATTTCCCTTTGTTTATTTGGGTGCTAAGTGACCAAATCCAATCCCCTAAAGAGTTAAGCAAATTTCATAGACCCCATTTGGCTCGATTCGGCTAGGCCCGACCCAGCTAGAAAACAAGGGGAATTAGGATCCCCAGAGCTCAGGCTCATAGACTTCTTCTATTTTTCCTAATGTCTGTCTCAGAGCTTGTTCTGACTTAATTCACTTGACACTTTTTGGGCTCGAAAATTAGTAACAAGAGTGGGAGAAGGGCAAAAATCTTTGACCGCTTAAGATATGCTTTAAACTCGATTTATTTAAAATATTCTACAAATTTCATCTTAATTAATTTATATTTCCTTCTACAATTGAGATTGGTGTACAGTAATACTTGCTGTACACCTTTACACCCCTCTCACAATGAGGGGTCCACAATTATAAAATTCATGTAGGTCCCCTTACATTGTGAGAGGGCTGTATACAAGAAGCTTTATTGTTTCTTCTATATCTAGGCTTGGGATGTTGTCAGATATTTAGTTCACTATACAAATTTATTATAAAATTTTTCACTTTAGTTTGTACAATAAATTAATATATATTACCCAAATTCAAACACTTGCTATAGATTGCAAGTACTGATCTAGCCATTATGCTACCATCACTATAAAGGGCAAGTCCATCATTTTATAAATTCCTAGATTTTTATTATCAACATTTCCCCCTTCGGCCCTCCTTAGAAAGGTTCGAGGAGGTTCGTGTGCTGCTCAGAGTGTTTGGTAAGATATGTTGTATGATGTTCGGATAGTATCCGTTTACCACAGTTTTTCTTGCTTGCATAGCTTTTCGAGTTCAAAGTCAACAGTGATTTTATACCTTCGATCAATTGTGTTGATAAATCAACGTGCGAGGTACTAAAAGACCTCTAATCAAGTGATCAATAGAATTTCGACCACCTTTTGGTTCACCTAAACATTACTTGCACGTGGAACACATTGTTTGGTGCAAATGTCATTCCCATAAAAAGTCTAACAATCGTCTATACTCTGATGGTCAAGTCAACTACTTAAACGAGATAGAATGAGTTTAACGAAGATGGATGAGAGAGGATTTGAGCTGACCCAATCCAATTGACAACTAACATGGGACCCCTTCTCCATGTTTGTGCCACGTAATTTACAGATATAAAATCATTTGAACCACTTCTAGATTGCTTTACAAGAGAGGGCAAAGTAAATAGAGTTCTTCATGCAATTTATATTTTGAATTCGGTATATTTTAAATTTAATTACATGATTTGCAATTGTTTTGGTTCTTTCTCAAAGGCACACAAGAGGAAGCTGCGGCAGCATATGATAGGGCAGCAATAGAATTCAGGGGGCCTAATGCAGTAACCAACTTCGACATTAGCAAATATACAGACAAGTTGAAAACATTCACACCGGAGGTCAAAGTGAATCAGGAAGATGTCCAAGCAACGAATCAAGAAACTTCAGAAACTTCGGAGGTCGTCCCTCAAATGCAAGGAGACGAAACAATTGATCGAGGAACTTCTGAGCTCGTCCCTCAAACGCAAGGAGACGAAACAATTGATCATCAATACCATCAAGAAGAGGAATACAATCAAATGGTTCAACCAAGTGACTCAAACTTAGAGTTGATTGATTCCATGGACTTGGATGTAATGGCGATGATGGACCCCACCGAAGGCATCGAGTACTGTTGGGACAATCTGTGCTTTGACTTGGACCTCTATTCGCTTCAAATTCCCAACGATCCTCTCGAAAACAATGAGTTGTTGGGATTGTTTGAAGAAAAAGGTTTCGAGGATGATATTGGTTCCATTTTTGACAATTCTTTCGATGGAAACGATTTTCTCCAGGACACAAGGTCCGGATCAAGTGCTGGAAGTAATGGCGTCGAGGCAAATATTTCGGTAGGTCAAAGCGAAAAGGGGCGAGATGCATCAATAACTTCTTCTTCACCACCACCACTACCATCAACAACAACATCAGTTGGTAGCAACATAGAGTAGTATTGTAAGAATTTTCTAAAATTCAGCTCCGGAAACTATTGAAGATTAGCAGAAAACATGGATTAATCATGTGGCTGCACAAACTTTAATGTTTTATTCTTATGAATTACATTTTTTTGGTATTTACAATAAATGACTGGCTCGTAATTATTATGTGAAGAATCATAATCCATTGAATTTATAAACAGAGTCTTGCTTCCTTTTTCGTTTATCTCAAATTATAGTTCCCTGTCTTAGGAAGAGTATAGTGGATTTACTTATTTATAATATATTAAAATATTACATCAAGGGAGAATAATTTTTTAGACGATTTTAACCCCCTACAATTCAATTATTTCAATAATACCTTATTTTTCATTTTTTGATATGTAATATAATTATTGTCATTTATAAAATTTGTGTTATTAATTCTCAATTAACTAACATTTGCATTAATCTAGATTCAATGAATTTTCATTTGATGAATCTTGAATTATATGAATCTAGAGTTATTATAGATAAATTTATTCATATTTATGTATCTAAAAAATTTAATGAATGTTTAAATTTATGTATTAACATTTAATTTTTATGTATCAAATGTAATATAAAAAGATTGTTCATTTATAGTATTTCATCATTACAAAAAATTTGAATCATAGAAATTGAGTTTTGAGAGTACAATTTGAGTATAATTTTCTTTCTCTTAAATTTCTATGCTAAGTGTATATATTTTTTAATTCGTCCGAGACTCATCAAATGCTCCAACAAATTAGTACCAAATATTAATTTTAGGTTACTTATATAACATTTTAGAATAACGTGCAATGCAAGTTCAATTTTGACTAATTTTCTAATATGTCCATATATAATATGCTTTGTTATCAACAAATATGAACTACTAATATTTAAATTATTATTTAATGTAAGAGTGTATTGAGAAAAATGTAAGTAAAATTTATATTTTCAATTATATTAATTACATTTTCATAATCTATGTCACAATAGAAATAAATCTAACTTTACGTGACAAAGGGAGTATTAGTTTAATGTTATTACTATTCCATTTTCATTCTTCTCTTTTATATTTTTAAATTATTGCTTAGTCTTTTATCTTTTGGAGAAAAATATAAATCTAAAATTTTTCGTGATTGATTTCAATAGTGAAATGAATTTTCCAATCTTTTAACTTGTACACTATACCCAACTCCACCTCTGACGACTAAAGGAATTTGGCAGACCAAACTTGGGTTTTCAGGATTTTTTATTTTTCAATCTTAATAAGATTATTAATTCAATGAGGGACAAAAGTGTTTGTCACGTTGTGTTAGTTTACAAAGACAAAGTTGAGTATAGTGACAAATAAGATAAGAAAATTGGAACATTTCTTAGAATAAATTTTGTGAAAATTATTTTTTTTGGAAAATGTGAGTGAAGAAAAAATGTTGTTCACGTACAAAGTTATTTTATTGAGAGAATATGTAATTGAAAATGAATTTAAAGAAAAATGAGAATGTGTACCAAACGTTAGCCAAGTCTTGTGAACAAAATAGGGCACATCCATAAATTCAAATTTAACTCTCCATCAATCTATTCTATTTCTAGGCTCGATAATCATGATTAGAAAATTCATATTTATAATTAAAAAAAAGGGTTCTGATTTTTTGTTAATTGTTTCTTGTTTTGTTTGACTCAGTCACGACTTTTTGTTCAATTTCTCGCTTAAAGGGTCGTACTCGTGCAACTATTCACCAATGATCAAGGATGTTCATACATAATAACATATTGAGTCCTGGAGAATTATCACTATTAAGTATTGATGATTAAAAAATCATTTCTTATGTCCCATATATATAAGTTGCTTTTCTCGTTTCTTAATATTGTTTGAACTATCATAAATTTCTCTTTCTATTTACCTCAAAATTTTCATTTATCACTTCAAACTTATCACTTCAAGTTATATGATTTCACAAGAGATTATTTTGCATAAATTGTATGTATAGAAATGATTGGCGAATGAAGGGTGGTAAAGCAAAACATGGCTACAATGAAGCTTATGAGACTAATTTGGACGAAGAGAGGAGAGTACTACATCTTGAAGGGAGCTATCCCTTTTCATTGCAGCCTTAAACTCTTCAAAGGTAACTTTTCCATCGCTGTTGGCGTCCATTAGGTCGAATATTTCATCTAATTTTCCGGGTTCTGTGATGTCCATTGGAAGGTAATCATCAGGCAATGCCTGCACATTTTTTCCCAAAAAAAAAAAAAAAAAAGGGATAATAAATAATGTGCTGTTGAGAACAATAATGGATTGTGCATTAACATGTAAAGATAAGCAAGAACAGCATTCACCCTTAGCATGGATGCCACTTCTTCCTTGCTGATGCATCCAGACCGATCAGTATCATACATCTGAATATTCAAGAACCCATTCTGTATAAGTTTTCTATGCTCGTGGTTATGGATGAGAAAGGAAAATCTCGATTCTGATAAACAAACAAGAAGCTATCTTGCTGTACTAACAAGTATAGCCCGCTTTGATTAAATTCAGTATTTGTGGCGTCAATGTGTGTGCTAACAAGTCTAACCTTCTTCAACTAATTTGAGTATCGTGCATGTGTACTAATGTGTGTTACCATCTTCGATTAACTTTATTAATGTTTTTTCCGAGGTTTACTGTAACTGTAGAGAGACAGCACCTGGAAACATAGACGGAGCGCATCATCTCCCTGTGAGTATTTGAGACTCGAAAAGCCCCCAATAATTTCCCTCATGTCAACAGTCCCGTCCCGATTATTATCAAACAGGTCGAAGATACGTGGGGCTAGAGGAACTAGTGATGACATTTCCATTGCTTTCAGCACCTCTTCGAATTCAGATAATGTCGCATTATCACCATTTTTACATCTGCATTTTGCCAAAGGAAAATCAGATAACATACTTTGAATAAGACGTAACTCTTAAGCACAACTAAACACGTTCATATTTGGCCTTTATTTGGAGAATATGCGTTGATGGCTTACATTTTCTTGAAATTTATGCTGAGATTCTCAAGTTCCTCTGGCTTAAGATCATAGGAACCTACCAAGTTCTTTAGTTTTTTTGTTCTTAAAGAAAAGCTGCTGCTTAGCACACTAGCCATTGCAGCTGCACGAAACTTACGCCTCGCGTTAAAACTCTGCAATCTTGAAACTATCTCAGCATCCATCTGATCGTGCTTTGCTAAATCCCCGGTCACCCATGGATGCTGAAGAATCTAAAAGAATTCAAAAAAGAACAGTGATCATCCCAGTTCTCAAACGTAAAACAACTTATAATTGAAAAAGTCAAACTAGAAAGTGATTTTTATTTTTTATTTTTTATTTTAAATATCCAGTTCAAGATCATTTCAGGTTAAGTTAGCTGAATATAATGACCGAACTTGATTGAGTGCAGTTGTGACACCTCTTCAGCGCTTGGTCGCATGTCTGGATCGACTTTTAGAAGACTACTGATGAGATGTTGTACAGAGGATGAAATGTTTTTCCATGTTTTCTCATAAAAGCTGAATTGTCCCTGCATTAAAGAATTTTCCATTGGCATTAGATCTAAAAATATAAAGCTTAACTTGGATGACGAGAGAATTTTATTTGATGGCACGTTTGGTATGCTCGACTGGACAAAACTGTACAAAGACAACTTCTGTTCCTTAGTCTTTGTCAAGTTCCATACTAAACAAGTCCAAGGTTTTCAGCTGCAAGAACATACGTTTAGTATCATTTGCTGCTTTTGCTGGGTTGACTGTGCAATGAAAGGTGGATATCTGAAACATAAGATATGAACTGTAAAATCCCAATTTCTTTTAAATTAAATTGTTGCATTGGGAAAATTATTCTTAGTGGTATTAAAAAAAAAAAAAAAAAAAAAAAAAATGGACTCACCCGGAGAGGAGAATATATAGGATTACACCAAGTGACCACATATCAGTTTTGTGAGTGATTTTGGCGCCCGAAAGCGCCTCAGGTGAAACATAATCAATCGAACCAAACAATCCCACTACTGGATCGGTAAAATCCTCCACAGAACTCAATCCAAAATCCATGATTTTCAATGGAGAATTCTTATCTTTGTTCAAAAACAAACAATTCTCAGGCTTTAAATCTCGATGAACAATATTTGCCCGGTGAAGCACCGCCAGCCCCTGTGCGATTTGCCTAACCACCGCTGCCGCCCCAGCTTCATTATACCTTGCCTGAGCCACTATCCTGTCAAATAGTTCACCCCCAGAACAAAGCTCTAGAATCAAATGAACCCCACCACTGTCTTCACAGACATCATGGAGATGAATTACATTCGGATGTGGAGAAACATCTTCAACAATTTTTCTCATCACCAAAAGTTCATTTGTCAACAAAGCATCTGAAATCAAAGCCTGGTTTGAATTTTTCGAATTTCTGGATCCTAGAGAAGGCACAAATGGGCCAAATCTTCTCAAAGTTTTAATCGCAACACCTGTATTTCCTTCACTGCATTTTTTAATCCCTTTTCGTACAACTGAAAATCCTCCCCTGCCCAGAACTTCATTCACTTCGTATTCATCACTAAGTGATTTTCTCGTATCCTGTCCCATGAAATTGTTAGTTTGGGTCAACAATGAGGAAGAAGATGGTTACAATTATATGAAGGATTAAGGGTTTATATTATTGTGGAATTAGGTGGTAATACACGGATTTGCATCACCTAATCAATCTGTTTTTGATTAGTTTATAGCTATATGACGTGCAAATGGCAAGAGATATATTTATATATAAATATAAATACACACAAAAAGAAAAAACCAAGGAAGAAGAGACAAAATGACCGAGTCAATCACAATTATTTCTTCTGATTTTTTGATTTAATTTATCGTGTTTAATTTGACGTAACGAACACGATTGCTCGAAAAAAAAAAAAAAAATTCCTGCAAACTAGGCCCGTTTGATCCCCATTGCGTAAAAATGAAAAGGAGGAGAATAGGCCCCAAGACACATCTCCAAGTGATAAAAAGAGAAAGTGGAGAAATTCAATTTTACTTGAGACTGTCGTGTCAAGGGTTCGAATTCTGAAATATGGATTTGACTTTTGGGTAAGTGCAAGTGTACAAGTAGCCTTCCACCCTATACCCTTGGAGGCATAACTTGTGATTTACCTTCCTCACGATACTTCAGAGCAAGGGCGGTGGGGGACCCTTAAGGTTGGGATTCAACA